TACATGTTCAATTGAGACCTTCATAAAATTATAAATGAAAGGACACATTATGAGCACTTTCTTTGAAGGGAAAAAAAAAAAGGGTCTTGCCTGGAAGTAAAATTTTGGAGTCTATATCCTTCTTCTCTGGAGAATACTTAGGAGCTTTCTCTGCCAACTCTGGGACCCCTAAAAGAGCTCTCCTCTGCCTTCAGAATTCAAAAAGGTAGAGCCGCCTTGTTCCCCTGATTGTGGGTGTGGGGTGGGGACCAGGAGGGGACTGGAAAGTCCTGGGCCCCAAGCTGTGTCCCTCAGGACTGGGGTCAGTGTGTCCTGGCGCCTCCTTCCCACAGCCCTCTCCCCCTCACTTCATCCCTCCTCCCACTGGGGATTCACTCCTGTTTACATTGGGGAGACTGCAACTTCTATTTCTCAATGTTTGAAAGAAGTTTAAAAGCTTATAAAAAGGCTCTTAAGATTTCTTGGACACCAAATGCCTCCAACAGAACAATATTTTGATGATTTAAGTGTAAATGAATCAGAAAGCTATGTATCAAATTTTCCTTGACATACACATCAGTTTAAAAAATTAATGGAAAAAGAACTGGGGGGCTCAAAGTGTTGGGGTTTTCTCGAACCCAAAATACTTGAACATGAAGAGTGGAAATCTATTTGCATCAGCCAGGTTTGCTGATTTCCTCCACCTGTCCGTCTTCTCCCTCCTAGTGATGGCGGAGGGAGGAGCATACCAGGAGGTGACCAGTGGGTCGGGATGTCAGTTTCTTGGTCATCAGCTCGGGTCCCAGCAGAAGCCAAAGGCTGGGCTGAGACTATGGGGATGTCCAGTCATTGTTCACTGTAGTCTGGCCCTAAAGCTGCCTTTTTTTCTTAAGATGAAGGAAACTAAATAAACAATCACAGAAGATCATAAATCACTGACAAATATATTTAGATTTGAAAAAGACCTAGAAAATAGAATGTGCCACAATTTGTCCCTCAAAGATTGACACACGACTAAGTCCTATAGATGTGGACCCTTGACTCCTGATGATAAATGGCACAGGTCAAAACTTGAGGCCAGTGCGGTTTGGGTGTGTTTTTTTTTTTCTTTTATGTTGCTGCTGGGTCCAAAAAACAACCATAGGAACAACCAAAAATCCTGGAACCAGACTTGACTCCTAAAATCATTGTTCTTCCAATTTTTTTTAATTAGATTTTTTTTTTATTTCTGTTGACTTTCCTTTGTGAATGGATGCAACCCTACTAGGTGGGCAGCTAACCAAGAAAAATGAGTCAGATGAACAAGATTTCAGTGCCAGGCTCATTTGTCCTGTAAGTGGTCAGGTCATTTGGGGATGGATGTCACAGATACTGTAACTGTGCATGATTGATAGATAACATTTTGGAGAAAAGTGTCTTGTGTCTAGTGCTTCACAAGCATTGTTGTGCTAGAAAGGTAAGTCTTAGGCATCCACTACCCCCAATATCTACTAAAAGCAGAGCTCAGCAAGGAGAGATCACCAAATAGAGCTCACTCCTAACTAATCCCCATGTTAACACTCATCCCTCTAAAGCACTGGAAATACTTCTGTGCCCTCCAGTGAGCTGTCTCCACGGATGTGTTTTGCTTCCTATTTTCAATATTCACACCCCCATTTAGGAAACTTTGCAGTCTCCAGTGCTTCAGAGGGTCTGACCTCCAGCCCAGGAAGAGTAGAGATGCAAGAGTTTTCCAGTGGATAAGTGCCTTGCTCATTCTTTCTCAAAGAAGCACTCTCTCGAAAGATTGGTAGGGTTGTAAAGGGTGGGAAGGCAATATTTAGAGAAATGTGCCTTTTAAAGACAGTTTTCAGACTTATTCCACCCAAAGCATGTGCTGTTGCTTATTTAATAAATATGTCAGTGATAGAATGCAGAAGAGAAAATGTGAGTAAATGAGTGAGTGAGTAAATGAATGACTGAGTGAATAAATGAATGAACAAGTGAGTGATTAGCGGGTAGATGAATGAATGATTGTATGAGTAAATGAGCGGCAGATGAATCAGTGAATGAGTAAATGAACAAAATAAGTGAATAAAAGTTGAATAAATGAATATGAGCCAAGGAGTGACCTACGTGTCAGTGAATGCATAAATGAGTGAAAAAGTAAAGGAGCAAACTACAGCTTTCACAGGAAAGCTGCATCCATGAGAGAAAATGTAAGTGACTGGCAGAGCCAGGCAAAAAGCAGATCCCTTCCCTCATATCACAGCCCCCACACCCACCACACACACCTCCTCCACGCTAAAGTTCTACAGGATCTCCTAGGACCTGGGGGAAGCTCTCCAGCCACCAGCAAGCCTCCAAGGAGAGCAAAAGAAAGATTCCCTTATTCTGCACAGCCTTCTGGTGGCCTCCAGGTCCTGAACCTGAAACTCCTGTCTTTTTGCAGAAAACCTAAGAGGGCAAAACAATAGCAACTGCCCCATGGGAACCAACCAACACAGAAAGACCCAGAAACATATGAAGGTACTTGGACACCTGATATACTTCCTCTAGGTGAGGCCTGAGACCAGGACAGACATCAGGAGTAGCCCATTCCAGAACATTCTCTGGTTCCTTTCCTAGGCAAACCTTAAAAAGGTACGGAAATAGGAGGGTCAGTCCATAACAGTGTGATCCCTTGTCATCTTAAATAATTGAGAGGGAATCTTCCCCTGGCTGGGTCTCAGTATCAAGGTGTATGCTGCCCTGTCAGGTGGCCTCAGGTAGAGGACAAGCAAATTTAGAAACCCCAGATTTATCCTCCCCCCCAAAAAAAAAGTGTGATGCCTGTCCCTGGCTTTTCCCCCTACCCCAGGCCTTCACACCCTGCGTTCAGGGAGTGAATTTTCCCAGTAAATAAGACCCACACCTCCTCCTCCTCTTTGGGACAATTCTATGCAGGTGACAAGCAGGTCAAATAAAACAAAAGTGACACTTCAAGGCCGAGAAGGTGGCCTGCAGCCCACGCAGCCCCTCCCAGGGCTAATGGTAGCAAATGGAGCCTGACCCGGTTTTGACTTGCACGTTGCTCAGAAAAAGGCTCTAGTAACTTCAGCTGGGGTTTGACTGACATTTTGGGATGGGGCTGCCAACCCCAGCCCAGGGTGCTCCTGCTCGTGCTGGGTCCCCATGTGGAACCTGTACCACCTGCCCTGGGCTCTCCAGGCCGAGCCCCTTCAGAATCCCATGCACCCCAGCCCTGCAGCTAATCTGCAGCCCGCAGCGCCCGGCTCTGCTGCATTCAGCCTCCGGGTCACGGGGCAAGTGGCAGGGGTTCTTTCTTCTTCCCCGCTGATACATCCTTCCTTCCGCTGCTCCTTGCAATCAAACGCTAGGAGAAGGGGCGCAGGGGTGGGGGGTTTGGGGTGGGACTTGGGAGCCTTCCAGAATGCTCTTTCCCCTTCCCATCACAGGTTGCCCGATAATGACCCTGGAGACTTCCACCTGGCCCTGTGAAGGAACGGGTTTCCCTCCGGGGCACCCCCAGGCATCACCTCCTGGCTGCTTCCCCTTCCTGCCTCCAGTGTCCATCCCTCCAGCCTGCTGGGCCTCCCCAGCTGCTTTTTGCATCCCCATTCCGGGAAGAATGAGCCTCCTGCCATTGCCACTTGCCACCTGCACTGTGACCCTGAGCCCCAAAGCACACACCCCAGCAGTTGCTTTCCTTGGTATCATTGGTGCATCTAGAAGCATTGGGGGGGATTTCAAAAACTGGGGGTCACACGGTCTTCAATCTCGGAATAGTCTCCAGGTGTGTGGGGAAAGGCTCTTTTAATTCATGTTTTAAACCTGATTTAGAATCGGTTGGTTTTTAACCTGAGGTCTGTTTTTCTCTGGGACCACACTCTAAAAACCAGAAGGTTCAGACTTCAGCAGGGTTTTCATACAGCGGGAGGGAAGACCTGCCATCTACCCTGCTCTCCTAAGTTTTGCCAACGCTGGGGTTTTCCACTGATTCCTGTCCCCAGCCTCTGCAGACTAAAAGCCAAGGCTGGTCTCCAGCCACAGTGGACACAACACCCCCCGCCTGCAGCCTTCGGCTGGGGAGCCCCAAGCACAACACTGATATTTAGAAAAAGTGTGTGTTTGCTCCTTCTGTCTTGGAAGAGCATTAATGGCTGGGTGGCAGGTGCAGTTTTTATTGGCGTACTTAGGGTGCTTATGATTATTTGTGGGATCAACCTCTCTCATGGACAATTAACTTCGCTCTGTTTCAGGGGCAGAGATCTTACCCCCCCTCATCTTGGCCAGTTGTCTTCCCCTTGTGCATCCTGAGGTGTCTGGGGCAAGGACTGGAGAGTTCAACCACTACTATAGCAGAAAAAAGCCTGGACAGACTGGTTGGGCAAAGAGCTGAGGCAGTTAGAGGCGGGCATCACTGCGGTCACTAAATTAACACAAGTCTCCCAGCCAGGGGCCAATCTAAGCCAGACCCGGTGGAATATCAGGCCCCGTCCTTCACAATTGCAATTAAAAAGAAAAGAGAAAAATCACCAAATGTTTATTATGTCTCATATTGGGGGGAGGGGAATCATTTCATTTTTACCATGGCAGATACTTAGTCATAATAGGAGAAACCGAGACATCTGGAATCAGCAAGAAAAGTAATTCTGGTTAATCATCTTTAAAGACTAAAGGATTTTTTTTTTAAAGATTTATTTATTTATTTATACAAGCACTGGGTACAGTCAGAGGCACGGGAGGGTGAGAGAATTCACCAGAGCCAGAGCGGGGACAGAACAGGCAGACTGATGAAGTACACTGCTGAGGGGAGCAGCGGGCATGGCAAGAGAGGTCTGTCGTGCCATGTGGGACCCTCGCCGGCAGACGGGGATTGAACTGGTGCTGCAGAGGCTGAGGGCAGCTTTGCAGCCCAGTGCTCAACCACTGCGCCACCAGGGGAGGCCCCAAGATTAAAGGATTTTGAGCATCTCCAGGACCACACCCTTTGTCTCTGTGACGTCAGACACATCATTTCTCTGTCCATGCAGCTTGGTGATACCCAAGACCTGCACCTGCTTTGCCCACGGGGCTGCTGCTTCCTGGGGTCCTGGTGCTGACTACTTGTGGCTTTCATACCCTCCACCCCCATTCATAGTCCTCGGGCCAAACAAGTTCAGTTTCTTCTACTTATGGGGTTGCCCTGAAATCCATCTGGCACCAGGCTTCTAAAGGACACCCACCAGCCAGACCCTATAACCCTCCTTCACATCCACAGAGGAAAATCAAGACTGGGGATGGAAAACAGAGGTACTTTCTGGGTGATCCACACCCCTTCCCTCTCCCCGCCCCCAGAAACATGCATTCATTTTGCATCCAGAGATATTTTTAAGTTCATTTTGTTTAATTTCAAAATGCGATCTTCCAGCACACCAAGCCTGGCTCTCCTTGAATTTTTCAGCTCTTTCCCTATCCCATGGCCCTGGATTCACACGCACAATTTGTCTTTGAGTTTGCCACTGGGGTTCCTAAGTCAGAATGACAATCAGAGACCCATTATGTTTCCACAGGCCAAATCATATTACAGCATTGCCAGGAATTAATTTCTATGGGTGAGTGGGCGGCCTCTGTTTTTCAGTTTTCTTGCTGTTGGAGACTAGGCATTGATAAAGCTTAGCCCTTTTCCCGCCTAGGACCCGAACCCCTCTGGCCGATGGCAATGAATTTTGAAACATTTGTCCAAACATCGGGCCCTGCTGGAATTTTACCTTTTAACATTGTGGCGTGAGTCAGCCATCACCAGGAACCAGGGACAACTTTTGATCATACAGAGAAACTCATTGTATTAGGATTTTTTTCTGTGTTAATATAATGATTTAATAAAGACATTTGGCACATAAATAAGATTCTCGTAGACCAAGCATTTTGAACAATGAGAGGATTAGGATCAGCCTATAGGGGATATTAGTAAAAGTGTCTTTTCTAGGGTTTGCAAAACTCTCCCGTCTGTTTAGAGATAAATTTATTATTCTTAACTAAAAACCCTCCTGAAATAGATGCAGTGAAAAAAAACAGAGTTCTCCCCCTGTTATGAGACTTTGCAAGCAAGCTTAAAATTGCTTAGAAACAAAAGACAGGAGGAAAAAGAAAAGGCCATGTCTCCAGATAATGAGGCCCTGCCTTTGTGTTTTATCTGCAAAACAGCACAGTTTGAAAAGTCTGGATTCCATTTCATTTGAACTGAACATAAATGTAGTGCCTGGAATTCTCCCAAATGAATAAATTCTTTGCCGATAATTTTTAAGTAAAGGAAGATCAACAGGATAGGGGCATGAGGAAGGATTTTAGGCTGTAGGGTGTGTGTGTGTGTGTGTGTGTGTGTGTGTGTGTGTACGCGTGCATGCGGGCACACACAGGACAGGGTGGGGGCCAATAGAATATAAATGAAAGAAGACAAACCCTTCAAATGTCCTAACTGGTGTGGGAAAAAACTAGAGAGGGACACATGCCCTGGCATCTAGCAGGACAATTAGCAGAGTCCCAGACACAATTCTTTCCTTTTCTTTCTGTGTCATGCTGAATTCTGTCTCTCTTTCTTGAAAAAATCCAAAGATTCCTTTCCTCTAGCAAAGTCTCTCTAGCTGACGATTTGCTCTTGTTCATCCCAGCTCGGCTTTCTCATCCTGAGGACAGCGACCTCGCTTCTTATCTCAGTGGCAGCTCCCATCTCTCTTGTGCCTTGCGCTGGATCTTCTCCCAGACGGTGAGCAAACAGGCCTGGCTGATGGCAGCTACGAGACCAGGCCGTAGACCTCTGGTCTCCTCTGTCTTCCTTGTGTGACGCCTTGCCGAGCGCAGCCTGCAGTGATGGAGGGGACCCGGCCCCAAGAGGCTCGACTCACCCCCTTCCCTCCCAGGATCGAGATGACCAGGGCAGGGACTGCGCCTTGGTTTCCATAAACCTCTCCAGCAGGACTTGCAAAGTCCTGCAAGGGACACTCTCCTCTTTCAGGCTTAATGTTCATTTTGTTTCCTTGTTAGAAAACGAAGAACAAAGAAAAGGCCATCGAGTCTCCTCTCTGACCACTGGAAGAAAGGTAGAGAAAAAGAAAAATAGGCTGAACAAAGAGAGGACACATCTCCCTCCTCCTTCTTTTTCTCCCCCACCCACAGCAAAATCTAATAAAGATGATTAAATTACATGTCTTTCCCTCCCATTGAAATCCACTGCATACTATTCAAATATTAGAACTCAGGAAATAAGGCAGGACAAGGTCCCTTATGAAACCTTAGAAGACAGCACAGGAGTCTGAGCTGGAGGTCTGCCTGGCTGGGCCGCTCTAATTAAGAAATCACCCTGCTGAGCAGAACTTAATCTAAATAAAATATATAAAGGAATTCAGTGAAAACCATTACCTCCTCCCCACACACCTCAAGTCCAGAGCCGCCAGCTCCCCCAGTCCAGGAGCTCTCCCTCCCGGCCGGCGCTCACCCTCCGGCACAGCACGCCGAGTGTGCCCTTCACATGGGACACAGATTCTTGGAAACTGGACCTGATGGAGCAAAGCATCAGGAAAGCAGTCCTCAAATAGGATTTCTTTCTATGTTGGCTGAGATGTTTTTCCCTCTTCGACATTGTAATGAAATGATGTTGGACGAAACAGCCTTATTACTGTGTGAAGACTGTTCCTGCAGAGGAAGCTGGGCCTGGGGCCTTCTGCCTGGTCAGACTTTCTCAGGGTCAGAGCAGACCTAGTGGGACTTGCTTTGGTTTGAAGAGGGGGTGGAGGGTGGGATTTAAAGCGCCGGACATCTGGCCCGCTCTAGCTTTCACACAACGAGCTGCCCACCCGAAGTCTCTCCGTAGGGTGTCCGAGCTCTTTGCTCCCCATCAGCTGCTTTTGATGGAGTGGCCACTTGAGAGAAAAGACCAAAGCTGCTTAACTTGATTTTGTTCAATATTCTTGTGCTGGCCTCAGACCCCCACTCCATCCAGGGTCACAATCTCTGAGGCTGGGGGACACTTGCTTAGTCTCATTTCCATCTACACCCCACAGAAACCTATTTCATGTTCTCCCTGGTGACTGCTGCAAGTGTGTTATTCTCTTTCACGTCGAGGGTTTTGCATAGACCACTGTGTCTGCTCACAAGAGTGATTCTGTCAAAACCCGCTGAAGGAGATGGACTCACTCCCTGGGGTAAAAAATTGCATACGTGCATAGAAGCTCAGGCTCTGGCCATCAGTTTCATGGAGTACCTGAGTCCTCTAAAGTGTCCACCATCATCAACTTAAGGACCTTGAAAGAGACTCTCCTTTTATCTTTTCTCCTCTGGCAAACATTCACACACTCTTTGGATCAAAATTGAGTCAGGCGCCCCTGAAAGCTCGCTCTGACTAAGCCCCAACCTCAGGCCATTGAATCCAGTCTTAACAAAAATCAGGCTGGATCCATTTTGCAAAACCTTTCACAGCCTGAACATATCACCCCTAGACAACCTTCAGCAAACATCCTATCACGGTGGTTAAGCCACAAGCCCCCTACTCTTGATGTGGAAACAGTGACTTTAAATCCTGCACTAAAAACCTCCACAAGTTCTTGCATTTGGAGCTGAACCCAGTATCTCTCCCTTCCCTTACTGTAGACCCCCCACTCTAGCTGCTCTTGAATAAAGTCTTCCCTAATGCCTTTAATAAGTGCCTTGAATAATTTTTCTTTATCCCCGCCATTTCAGGAGGACCCCTACATAGCCTCAAGACCACCACAAAGCTTCGCTGACAAACCCTGAACTGGTTATTGGACCTCCAGCCTCTGGGTGCCCAGTGGTCCTTGTCTATGCGTCTAGTATATCAAGGGTTATGGTGTGGCCATTATCCCTTGGCATGCCCATCTTCCCTGAGACCTAGGTGGGCATATTCTCTCTGAAAGGCTCAGAGAGTCCAATATTTTTGGCTTCTGGGGCTCTGCAGCAATAATTCAAGTCCACAGTGGTAGCAAAAGCAGTTCTAAATGATGTGTAAATAAATGGGTGTGGCTGTGTCCCCATAAAACTTGATAGGCATAGCGATGCGAATTTCATATCATTTTTCATGTGTCACAAAACAATCTTCTATTGTTTGTTTTCTCAAACATTACAAAATATAAAACAACATTCTTATCACATGAGTTATACAAAAACAGACAAAGGGCAGGGCAGATTAAATCCACAGGACATCGTCTGCAGACCTCTTCTCTATACTGAAGACAGGTCCTCAAAGGGAGATCTTACTCATTTTTTAGTATCATTATCTAGAAATTCCTCAAAAGGTCATTTACCTTTGAGTTTCACTGTCTAGTATTAAATGATACACAAAATGAGTGAATAGGTAAACAAGTGAATGATCAATGGACTGTAAGCTTCTCCTTAAAACAGACACTAAAGAGGACAGCCTTACTTGGGGGGCACTCTTAAGGTTCCATGTCTTGTCATGATTAGAGATATCACCCCTTAAGTGCTTAGCTACCAAGGCCCCAAGCTGCAGGTCTCACAATATTCCACAAATCACTGAGTAGATGCCAAAACCTAAAATTTGGTCCAAAAATCACTCCTCTTAAAGATAAGATTTCTACACCCCTACCTGCTTTGACAGAGTTATGGCTTCTTGGAGCCTCTCCCTAAAAATCCCTTCACCTTCCTGTGGCAGGCAGATCCAATGTGATTCCCAGTGACCTTCCCTCCTCACTAGGTTATTCAAGCCCTTGTAAGATCCTTTCTTCTTGAGTATGGGCTGGACCCATGACTTACTTCTAATCAATTGAATACATAAAAATTATGGACTGTCACAGCCAAAGTGAGATGGTGACTTTGGTTTTGTCAGCAGACCATCCTGCCTTCTCAGCTCCCACATGTTGATGGCAGGGTGCCATGGTGGAGAGGCCAATGTGGCAAGTAACGGAGGGTGGTCTTTGGCCAATTTCTGGGAAAGAACTGAGACCCTCAGTCCAATGAGCAGCAAGGAACTGAATTCTTCCAACAACCACATGACTGGGCTTAGAAGTGAATCTTTCTCTAGTTGAGTCTTCAGATAAGTTCACCACAAACTCTAAACCAGTATTTGGATTGCAGACTTGGGAGAAAACTTGAGGCAGAACACCCAGCCACGTCATGCCAGATTCTGACTTACAGAAATGATGCAACGATAAATGTGAATTATCTTAAACCACCACTCTTAGTAGAAATATGTGGTGCAACATTCAGTAACCAGTACATCTACCTATAGGACAATTGGATGTTTACTCATTTCCCCACCAAAATGTTAGGTTCTTTCAGGGCAGAGTTTAGTTGAATCATACTAACCTTGCCCTATAATTTATGTTCAACAACTGTTTGCTAAATTGACCAGCATTTTAAGTTTCACTGTAATTCCTTTAATTTCAATAACAACAGTATTACTTAAAGATGGGTCTGTGGTAGAATCAAGCAGGTGGCTGATTTGGGCAGAAGGTCTTTGAAAATCATTAGAAAACATTTATTTGAATGTGTACCTTATTGGAGCAAAGATATTCAGGGCGGGTGGGGAGGTTTCATTCATTTTCAAAGACATTAAATTTGTTGTCCTCCAACTACACAAAAGAGATCATTTCCCTCATTGACCCAACCGTGTGTGTCCAGTGGATGGTCTAATTATTTAGAACCTCCCCTTGTTCCAAGTTTTGCATGGGTGATAAGAAGTACTCTGAAAAGAGAGGAAAAGAAGGAAATGGAAAAATCTATGGACAATGGAGAAAAGGAAAGAAAAAAGAGCAAAGAAGTAGTAGTAGTCAGAACACCAAAACCAGATGCAGAGAAATGGTTCAAAAGAAAATGTCTGATTTTGTTGTCTCTGTTCATAAATATTTTGACAAGAAGCTTGGCATTTATCAAAAAGGAAATAAAGAAAAACAGAAGTTGTCTTCCAGAGAACCCACACTCTTGGAATTCAATGACCTAATTCTGTACAAGTTTGTAGAGTAGAGATTGCCTCTCTTGTCTGAGCTCATGGCGCTGGACCTGTTTTCTCGACAGCACATGCCACCGCACTATCAGAGGTTAGGAATAAAGAACAGAGGGTGTAGGGAAATCGTCGGGATACTATGCTGGGAAACACTGTAGATTCTCATTCTCTATCTTACTGTTTGCTTATCAGAGCAGTTAAGTCAACTTTTCATGGTTTTTGTAGACATTATATAATATCTTCTTCCCCCTGGCCCCATCACCAGCTGTTAGCCAGTCTCGTCCCAGAATGGAATGGGGGTTGGATTAGCCTTTGTTTAATAATTTTCATGCTCACATTTGAGGAAACCAGTTCCCAGTTGTTGAACAAACCTACAGTTTCTGCATTATCGTAGAACCAAAGAGATCTCAAGAAAGCCAAGTGTTCAAAAGTCAAAACAATTTAAATCAGTTATTTTAAGCCTGAAACATTCTCATCTGTAAAGTGGGGGCTAGAGCAGAGGACCCCTAGGGTTATTCTGAAGGTTAAATAAGTACAATAGTCGCCATCTAGAGCAAGGCCACTCAACTTTGATGCAGCTGACATTTCAGAGGAGGATTTTCCTTTGTGATAGGGACCTGTCCTATATATTTGTAGGATGTTTAGCAACATCTATAGCTTCTACTCACTAAATGCCTGTAGCCCATGACCTATGGCCTCCGTGGTTACAATCAAAAATGTCTTCACATATTTCTATATTCACATATTTTGTCCCCAGGGGGACAAAGTCACTTTTAGTTGAGAACCATTATTCTTATTTTGACATATGCTAATTGTTCCATGAATATTAGGGTTTTGATTATCATCTAACAGCAGCAGCAGCCTGCTATGGTGACAGCTCCTCTGTCTTCGTGAAGCATTGATATAGTTGTTGCGTTTCTAAACCCTTTCAAAAGAAAGGGTTCAAGATGTGCAAGATCATTAATTTGATAATCATCCAACAAGAAACCATCCCCCGTGAAATCTTTCGTGGAAGGAAAAAGGCCACCATTCTATTCTTCTCCAGGAGCTAGGGACATTCCTAAGTCTCACAGCTTGTGAGACACTACAGATTCTTCCCCTGGCAGGCATTTTCCCGCAGCAGTTACCACTGGTATAATTATTCTCGAATCTTCTCTTGGAGATTTCCAAGGGTACCTCCACTCTCACCTGAGAAAGGAAAAAAGAGATGTTTAAGGGAGTTCTTCAAC